GCCCAGATGCTGAAGAAGCTGCAGGAGGTGCAACCCACCTGTAGCTTTTTTCTTTAGATCCCACATCACTTGATGCTTGATTTTTTTACATGAGTTGTCATTTTACCTGTATGTGTCAGCTCATGGAGAGTTTACATTGGGTTGGTTTGGATTGGGAGGAGATTTGACGCTTAGATTTCACATCCTGATTTTGAGTATGTATTTCTCATTTAGATTGACATCTTTGGAATGGAAAAGATAAGCATAAAATCAAACTGTAAATGTATAATGGGATCCAATATCTAGTGACAAGAAACCTGGGCATCAAATCTGAATGTAAACTTGAGACATCAACTCTCAAGGTAAAAATGGAATGTCAACTGAAAGAGCCAACTTGGTGGAAAGAGCTTGAGGTGGGCCCAGACTGTCAGTTGAGTGTGCTCCCCTGGTGCTTGGCTGCTCCATGAGCACATGAGCAGGACCTGCCCCTACTTCCCCAGCTTGGGCATGCCTTCTAAGAGATGCCCAATCCCTGTTCTCTCTCAACCTGAGGCATCCTCTGGAGCTTCCCAGAGTGGCCAAATGCCCCTGGCCTGATGGACCCTGGGGGCAAGAATCCTTCCCGTGCCTGGCAGGACACCGCTGGGTGCTCCAGAGCGCTGGGAGCCCTGACAACATCTCTGCACCCCCCTTCTTACCGCTGCTACCTCTGGTTCTGCAGAGCAAGAGGATAGTGGGCTCTCTGGTATGCCCTGGAGGCCCAGGGTGGTGTCCCTGTGCTTGGCAGCCATGGACTGGGCACAGCTGCTGAGAGTCCTTTTCAATTCATCTGGACATCCAGACTATTGGACAAGGGGCATTTAGACTCAATATATTTATTTTGTCTGGCAATAGCTGGGGTGAAAAAAAGGCTTTTGGTTCTCTCTGCATGAACTTTGTGGAGACAGAGATCATACATGATTTCACCATCATTCCGTAACAGAGCACCAGGGGACGTGTGCTACTACCTGCTTATGGTGAGGTCATCTTTTTGGAAAGAAGTCCTGAATTATTTTGTGTTCTTGACCATCTTTCTACCTGCACTTCAGTAAATCTTTTCCTCTTTAGCCTTCATCCTTGCTATCTGTCTTCAAAGATGGCAGCCCTCCCGGTCTTTGTCTTGCTCCTGCTAGTCATCTTCCATCAGCATTTTGCTGAAATTCTGCTATCCTATGGAAATACACGCTTTCCCACTGAATGCACAAAAAAAAAAAAAAAAAAGACCCCAAAACTCACAGCAATTGAACACATCAGCTAGTTGTTTGGCAAGCCTGTCAATTTTCTTTTGACCTAAGCATTGCTTGGGATCTACCACTGCTCCAGCTGTAGGAAGGAATTTGAATCCATTATTTACTTTCTGTTGGAATCTTTGCCCATTTTCCTCTGAGACTGTTGTAACATAGAATTAATTCACAATTACAAAATGAGACAGATTCTTGGTGCCAGACGTTATATTCCTGGTAATGGAAAGAGGTTTGGGGCAAAGGTAGCAAGCTCCATGCAGTAGAACATAACCACAAGTCTCGCTAACATATAGTACAAGTTATGCCAAAAGATTCAATGGTTACCATTCTGGTCCCCTAATACTGAACACAGTTGTTAAGAACTGGACATGGCAGCTGCTTTTTTCCTTAAAACACTATAAATGTTTCTCCAGATTTAACCACTGACGCTGCATTAAATTAAGCGATGTCATTTGCCATGCACTGTTTCAACTTCTCTGCCTTTCTATCAAGTATATTCAAGGAAACAGTGGAAGATCACACTTTGGATGGGGAAAACACACACACAGACACAAAAAAAAGATTAAACTTTCACATCCAAAGCACACAGCAGTGACAGAGTCCTTCCCCCTCCCCCAGAGCACATGAAGGAAAACCCACTGTCTTTTTTCCTTTGAATCTTACATTCCTTAAACTCTTTTAAAAGTTCACACTAGATTTTGTTTTCAAAACAAATTCTGTTTAAGTGTGGCATTTGTTTAAAGACCACAATATATGTTTAGCAATACAATGTCATCAAGGTGACACTTTATTCTCCATTTAGAACCCAGGCCAACCTTGTTTGTATTTAATTAAGCTGGTGAATATCTCTCAGATGATCTATTGATCAGGTTCCAAATGAACTCGAACTGAGAATTTGCACCAAATATAGCAATTAGGCCAAAACTAACATGTTTTTGAAAAAGCTGAAATTTTTGCTATACAGTTTCCAAACTAAAGCTTTGAAACTTGCTTTGAAGATTGTTGAAGTTTGAAGAAAAATTAGGATTAAAATGAAACTGCATGCAGAAAAATTAAATTACTTGGGTTTGGCCACACAAAAGGCTTAACCAATCTTTTGGATCAGATGAATGAGTTGGGTTTTTTACTTCACCACTAGCTTTGGTGGACCAAAACATTTTAATGCAGAAAATAGTACTTAAGTAGAAAATGAAACCAAAGTCCTTAGAAGACATGCCATTCTTCTTTTACAAAGAGCTATTTTTTGCTAGCATCTAGAAAATGAAAAAATATCCTTGTAAAGACAGACAGGAAACACAGAAAATTAAACATTCTAACATTAGGGTAATGAAAATACAAGCTGGTGCCTTCAACCCTTGTGAAAGGCTGTGAAAACATACCAGTACAGCTACATGTGTTCCTTATCTACCTACATATAAACAAAGGGGGCACTTTTAATTTGATTCAAGTTTGGAAATGCTTCTTATACACACAGATCTAAGCCTCAAACACTGGCCCAGAACCTTAAAGGAGAAAATGTAGCTAGCAGAGATATGAAACACCCTTACTTGACCATTCAGCCTGTATTTTATTTGTGTGCACAAGGAATGGAAAAATGAAGAGTCATGTGCAACAGATATTGCTTACTTATATAGAAGATCATTTGACTGAAATGCATTTTGTGAAATTACAGAAAATAAAGGTTTACAACACAAACATAAAAGTTTTTTTTATTTGGGTCATACGCTCTTTATTTAAACTGTTGCTTAGGAATAGCCTTATAGAATAAGACTTCTGAGTAGAATTTTTTATCTTTCCTCTTATATCTGTTCCAGCCTTTAATGTTCATACTTCAGCTCCCACACTCTTCATGGGATGAAGAATTATTTATGTACAAAAATATACTCTGAAAGGCACCTCAATCAACATAACATTTATTTGTAGGATATCACTTGCACAAACTGAAGTGGGAGTGGAATATACAGTGAATGCAAGTCGTCAAGAATAATAATTGTAAAAGAGGAAAAATCAACGTTTGGCATATGAAAGTTTCCTCTTTACTCCTTAATATATTTATAATCAAGCAGTTTCCTCTCACTTTTTCCAGCTCTGTAAAATAAAACCTGTATATCTTCCCCGAGTTTGTCTGTAAGCTATACAATTCCAAATAGTCATGCTTAAAGGCATTTTATAAACTATTTTATAACATGGTGTGATAATTTCCCTGTAGGGATAGTCACTGGAGACATAAATTGTTTCTTTGCCAGGACAATACTTCCAGTTCATGATAATAATGTTTTTGACTAGCCCCTAAGAAAAGCTGCCATTTGGATACATCCATGTTCAGGTTCCTTCACCAGGGATCTTCTATCCAAGTCACAGGGTTCACAGATGAAGACCTTGAGTGTTCTGCACAAAAACTCAAGAGCTGTCATCTCCCCTCAGTCAGTGTTACACCATGCATACATACGCTTACATACAGGTTTGCAAAACTTACTTTTATCAACCAGCTTTCCCCATGGGAAAGCTTTACCCTTCTTGCAGCTAAGGGGTCCATTTGCCTGGGGACTCTCCAGTTTCTAGGAGCTGCTTGTGGATTTCACGATGATGAGGCCAGATGGAAGTGGAGAACTTTGCACCAGCAACACTGATGGCCACGCTCAGCAGCAGTGACTTTTGGCAGTAGCAGGCAGCTCACAGGAGCATTGTCTCCGTCTCAGTATTTCACAAGTTCCATTTCAGCAGATCTGAAATCTTTATGTCAAGTTTCTCTCTTCGTCCTCCTTTCTTTAGTGTTTTTGGAAGAAGGAAATGGAGAAAAAGAAAGCCCAGAGGAACAATTTACACCAGGATATCACTTCTCTTGCTGCACCATACTACCAGTGTTATCATGGCACATGTCAACATGACTGGGATCAAGATCAGAGTTATGAGAATTTCATCGGGTGGATCTTCCCAGTGAACCTTTTCTGAAGTACAGTTTGAAAAGAATTGTTTATGAATTCCAGTGATAAAGCCCTCTGCAAGGGGGTTTGGCCAAAAGCAACTTGCACTGTTGGCTTCACGTTCTGTGCACTGGGTAAAGTTATCGTAATACCTAGGAGAAGAAGAAAACAAAGAGAAGTTTAAACATAATGCATTTTCATGTTACACTTAGAGGAAAGGTACATAGGGAACCACCTAGAATCTCCAAGAGTGGCTCTATCATGTAGATACTCTTCTGAAAGACCTTTAATGAAAGCTGTGGGTACTAAATATTGCACAGTGAGCCAGAAGGACAACTGACTCATGTGTACTCATGCAACTGAGAGATTTCATGTGAAAACCTGAGGTTCCAGATGGAGAGTGGTCAAAATCCTGCCTTTTGGATGTTATTACCGCCAGGACCTCCTAATGTCACTTAAGTAGACTTATAACCCCCTCACTAGAAATATCCACAGTATCTTTAAAAAAACATACACACAAATGTGCCAAGAACAGGATAATTTGAGTGAAAAACAAATAATTCATGCCTCATCTGTCATTGGACATGATGTTGTAGTAAAAATTATTATTTGATTCTGGGACTGAGCCATAACATGCAGTACTGTGGAACAATTTCAATTGTATCCTCACACAGTACAAAGATAATGGGAAAATAGACAGAAAGTAACCTTTTGACAACCTTTATCTTTTTCCCAACTCCAGCAAATGGCCAGAAGGAAAAATCATTTTTAATTACATGTTTGTAATGCTCATGAAAGTTTGGGATCCCCTTGTAATGCCTAATACTTGATTTCGACACAGTATGTCCTTACCTCTCCAGGGATAGCTTATATTTATGAGAATTGGCTACCCCTCAGGAAAAAAAAAAAAAAAAAAAAAGGAAACAATAAGCCTAAATGAGTAATCGGATGGTTTTCGTGGTGTTATCACAAGCCAAAGAAATTCAGGAAGTGAATGGAGAATGGGGGAGGAGATTGGAAATTAGACAACAAAGGATGTCTGGTCGGTGCATGAACAGGACAAGAAATAAGGAAGCTGAATTATTGCTCGTTGCATTTTAAAATATTTCTTTCAGTCCTGCATGACTCAAACTCACTTCAAAGGGAAATTAAAAATAGGAAGGAGAGAGCAAGAAAACACATGGCATCTCAAGGGAGAGCATCCTGCACTATTATCCCTTTCAGTATGCATAAATACAGTAAGTCCTGATGAATGACTTGGTCTGACACCAAGTACCACAGGGACTAATGCTGACTCAGCCCTTTGCTGGGAAGTGGTGGAGAAGAGACGTTCAGTGTTTGGGTCAAGACTGAAGTCAGCCCTGGCAGTGGACAATGGCAGTGGCAGTGCTGTCTACAAGCACGTAAGTTGGGAATACAGGCTGCAAAGCATCTACATTCTCAAGGCTGTGTTCACACAAGAAAAAGCTTCACAGAAAGGTCCTTCTGCAACCTGCTCACAGTTCTCATTCTCAGAGTTTGATCTGATGCCGCTTTATTCATAAGCAAAGACACTGGACAATGTGACAAGTCCACACGCAGATGCTCCGGCAGACGGATATGCACAGTGTATGTATATTTTAAACAAAACAACCAGAAAGGAAGCTTTTGTGACAATGTCAGCAGCCACGGGGAAACAACAGGAAAGAAGTTAAAAATAAAATACAAATATTAGCTGCTTGTTATTTTAGTAGTGTCATTCTTCCATGTGACCCAGTAGCATCCATTCTTTATGTCCTTCGACTAAATTAGAAGCTGAAGATGTCTAGCTGAATATGGGAGAGACAGTCCCAGAGGACCTGAAGAATAATAGAACTGAAGGCATGCCCACAAGGTTCAACAGACAATGCAGACAGCGAAGCCAGCAGCCAGTTGCCCACAAAGGTCAGTGCTTCGTACAGCACAGACACCAGGCAAGGCCCCAGAGAGCATCTGGCCCTGCTCTGGGCCAGGTCTGTGCCAGCTTGTCCCATCAATGGCTGCTTCAGCTCCCCACTGCCACTGCCACCTCCATTTGCCCCGCTGTTCATGTAGAGTTAAAAAAGCAACAGTAAATCTTGGTAACCTGAGCAGACGTCACATAAAACTGCCCTAAACTGAAAGATGTAATGATATAAGTCCTTCCTTTCGGGGCCTGGTTAGGGGTTTTTTTTGGGTGTAAAATCCTATCGAATTTTGTTTTTCCAAGAATTGCTTTTCCAAGAATTCTGTAGATCCTTTTCAAAACTGTTAGATGGTGTAAACAAAAACATTTCCCACTGATTTTCCATTTCAAGTACAACACAGCTTGAAAAACCTGGTTAAGTGTTGCCAAAAGGACAGATAAAAGTAATTAGGAAGTTATATTGTATTTGAAGGACTGAATCACTAAAAAGCAAAAATAGAATAAAAATGTTACCTTAATAGTTTGAATTCCCTACAATTTTCACTTAATACCCTCTCACTCAAAAAAAAAAAAGCTACCTGGACTACAACTATTTTTTCACACAATTGTGAGGCTGTGGGATAAGAAAAAATCTTAACTATTTGAGAATTACATGTCTGCCAGTAAAGCTCAATTCACTTAAATATATATGTAATTTAGTAATCTAGAGTTATGCATTGTAACAAAGTTGATGTTAAAAAGAAGTTCTCTGCATGGTACTGTGTAACCACCGCCTCAGAAGGGAGCAACTGAACCCTCATTACTACAGAATGGCCATTGTGTTGTTGATCCATTGGTTTGTAAGTTGTTGGGCTTTTTGAAGAGGGACGTAGGGTTTAATACATATTTCATTCCAGTTTGATTCTTCCATGCTTTTATGCCTTATGTAATTCTTTTATTCAAATTGTAAAGGCTACAGTAAAAAAAACTTCTCATTCTGTATCACAAAGTCTGCCTTGGCCTCTGACTGGAGGCACTTCAACACAAATACACAAAAATTACACACTTTGTGAAAGGAATGAATGAGAAATTACATTTTCTACTTATTCCCAGGACAAGCAACTGGAAAGCTACAGTAGCTCAAGCTCCTTTACCTCTGAGATTACAAAGAGGCATGGGAAGGCTGTTATTCTCCATACTGAGTCACATTTTCATCTCTTCCAGGCCAGCTACAAAGACTTTAGTAAGTTAATACTCAGAAACAGTATAATCGCTGGGAGCCTGGTCAGAAGTTTTGTAATCAGTGGGCTGAAAAATTAATGCATCTGTGAGCTTCAACTCAGTTCACTAAACAAAACCTAAGTACATACAGAGCTCCAAAATTCATACAAAGGTATGCCTTCCCCTGATATGCTCATGAGAATCATTGTGAGGTTTTATTAAGGAGCCAGCTACTGGGTCATACTGTGTATTATTGAAAATATTCACTTTCAGAGAACATGAAAAATACTTAATTCCTCTTTGGAGCAATCTCTGAGCTGTAACACATTTGTCATGACAGACAATTTTCAATATCCTAGAACAATAGTTCATTTTCAGAGCACAAACACTTTTTCTCCTGCATGTTTTCACTAAAACAGAGAATAACAATTGTGTAGTTAGGTTTTGTAAAAACTCTGGAAAATCTTATTTTGTGAGTTATTTTACCTTTGATAAAATGTATTTATTTATATTTTCCTATAGCCAAGAACCTGGACAATAGGCAGTTATCAGGAATGCTAGCACAGACTTTTGCATTAATGGGACAGTGTTTCATGGAGTGACCACTCAAACTATTTAAATAGCTTAAATAGATGTATTACATCTTGCCCATCTCAGGGTACCCAGTTGCCTACCACTCAGGGCACTGCTCAGTCTAAGTGGGAGCTTGAGTCTCCTCCATAGTTTCCCAAGGAAGATGTAGTAAATTCTTGCTCTTTTTCTCCACATCCCTGCACAGAAAAACTACAGGGGTGACTGGTTTACAAACACACAAAACAGAAACTCCTGCCTCAAATTTTCATAAGACCAAGAAAACAAATAGATTGTTTCATTGACAGTTTCAACAAATAAGCACTTTCCAAAGAAAAACTGTTCTTCCAAAAAGTCCCAAACAATTTTCAAAAATCAGAGTACCACATATCATGTTACTGAAGACAAACTTTTGAAGGCATTCGCTGGCTGCAGCCAGTAGACCCACTGGCCATTCCAGTAAGAGAATCCTGCCACCTCTCCAGGAGTCATGGGTAGACCACCCCAGAGACTCTCTGCACACATCCAGTCAGGGATGTTTTGCCATCGTTCGATAAGTTGGGTCAGGAATTAAAAAAAAGAAAGACCAATCATCACACGGTCACAATCTCATTTTACATAAAACAGCTTCATTAGTGATATAATTATGGAAGACTGCAGCAGAGTATGTACATTGCAAGTTAACTTTTGTTATTTTGAGCCCACTAAGTATTCATAAAATAGAGGTAACATTCTCTCTAGCAAAAAAAGAGTTTTGATGTAAATCAGGTAATAGATCCTCCAGGGACACTCACTCCTGCTGCTCCACAATCCTGGGTAGGAATCTAGACTAGGCATTGTTCCAGCATACTACCAGCTATGTAGTGTATTTTAATAAAGATTTTTAAAACTCCTTTTTTTTTTTTCACCCACCAGATGGTTCAACCAAGAAATTTCTTTATACATAGTCATATATTAAATTAGACTTCAAAGTGAATGGTCATCCTTGTAACCTCCACCCAGTCTGGAATATGAAATGCTGAAATAATCATAAATATCATATGATGAGAAAGATTCTTCTAACAGTATTTCCAGATGAAGTGGAGGCAGGAAGTACCAAATAACCTCACAAAAAAAAAAAAAAAAAAAAAAAAAAAGCCGCCTATTATTGTGTGAATGCTGCCACATTTTACAGAATTTAAGGGTGTAACAGGTTGGATGAACTTCAAGTAAGGATCCAAATCTGAAGATGATTATCTCCTGAGGCTTCACCATCACATTAGAAAGAAAGCCTTAGTTTTGTAATCAGCTATAAGCCTACAAATACAGTGGAATACTTCTGAGCTTTTTTCATTCACCATCTCTCCAAACAAGTTTGTGGCTGTATCTCACCATTCCTTTAATCACATATCTTCTGCCAAGAGGAATATTCTCACAGACATATTTCTACATCCCTAATCGGATCAGGTCTGCTGTTGTGTATCTCCAGTATAGAATTCAGCCAAAAGAAAATAATGTACTACAAAACAAAAGAAAGGAAATTCATATAGGGGAGGAAAAAAGGGAAAAAAAACAGCTTTGCTGGTTTAATGACAACATTATATAGTATCCTCTCATGCCACTAAATAATGGGCGTTGTGGCAGATTTACTCACTTGGGTTGAAAGTAATAAATATATTCTGGTGTCCTTTGAAATAATTACAGAACTCCACCCTTGGCTTCATATCAACAGTTGTCTAGAAAATGAAAAATGGTCAAACAAACCTAACTAAGAATCCCAAAATGCACAACTGTTACTAAACTGTAATTTCCTGAAGATTCAGCAAGAAAATTCAAAGAGCAACAGCAGTTGTAAGGGGTAGTTTATATATCTAACATTCATCTCTAATGAGTAACAGAAACTACTATGCAGTTTCTACTACTATGTAGCAAATGTAGAACAAAGAGGGAAGTGTAGCCTGACACCAGGTACTATGTTATAAAGGTAAAAAATTTCATAGCACTGGAAGTTTTACCAAGCCAGAAGCTTCTATTAGCAAGTGAACTTTGCCTTCCACCACTTCTGAGCTATATTTTAATGATTACTTAGTTGAAAACTGAGCCCATTTTGGGGCAACACCAGTTCAGAGGAGAAGTATTCTCTGCAGCCATCACTCCAACATATCTATAGGACCCATTAGCCGAATCCTAATCCCACAAAAAATTAACCATACGCATCCAACTTCTTGTATGCACCATACCTCCTATGTAGCCATCAGCATCAGAGGAAATGGAGGAAAAATATGTACTTAATATACTGAAAAGTCTGCACTGGGTCTCAGATGCTGTCAGTCACCTCACTAATTCCCCCCTCTCCAGCTGAGAAACAGACACAGGGAATGCACTGCACAGGGCAAAGGAAATGCAGGAGGCAAGAGCACCACATGGAACTGGCACCCTGCAATCGGAAAGCTGAAATGCTCTGCAAATGTCTGCAAATGCATATTTAAACCTTAAAAAAGGTTTGTTCCTGTACTGCATCTTCAAGATGAGAGCTTGTTCTGCTCCTTAGAGATGATTACAACATTGCAGTGTCACTCTGCTCTATGCAGCAATCTGGCTCAAGACCTGTGGCTTTAATATAGTTGGTCTAAATCTTTACTTACTATGCTACTGCATGAACAGCAAATTATTTCAGAATACATTACTTAATCATAAACTCATCAGGGACAGAGAGTAAAATGAAGAAGGTTGAACTTCTCCAAAGAAATCTTTCTTGAGCTAGCTTTCAGAGTAGCAATGAAGAAATATGGGCTATTTTAGTGGTGATCATGAATTCTCCTGGAAGTTGCCAAGTTGAGGCAAATCCCTTCACCAGTTTAACATAACAGATAGTAAGTTGATTTGTTTAGTTAACACACACATCAGACACTTCACACTTCCGGCTTAAAATGGTACATTTCTTTATCATAAGAGTAGGGTGACCTGTGACTCACGGCTTCTAAATCATTGCTGCTCAGTTTCTAAAGTTAACTTGAATTACAACTTTGATGATAGAGCAGCTGATAGAGACCACAGTTACAACCACAGCTCATTTCTGCATAAGCTCTTGAGACATAGCAAAGTTCCTTGTTAACAAGTTCCTCAGTACACAAGATGTCCCCCAGTCTCCAGCAGCAACCCTGCTATCTCAACTCATAATGGCCTTAACAAGTGACACTGCAAACAGCACTGAGGATTTGGTACTGGTTTTTTTTGGTCTGATGCCTGGTCTTTTCTCTGGTCCAACACCACCCGCAGCTATCACAGTAACACTGACATTTGATGGAAGACAGAGAGAATAGCAAAGGGAAAGAAAAGCCATTTGTTATTCACTGAAAGACAAAAGAAAGCAGAATGATTTTTAAAACAGATTTA